GCCGCGGGCAAGCGAGTGAAGCTTCCTCAGTATTTACAGCCAATTCCCATCCCTTGCTTGGTCACACCACCGCCTGTGCTCTGCCTGTCAGGTGTCAGATCAGTGTTGGCATTAGATTCTCATAGGAGTGAACCCTACTGTAAACTGTGCACTCAAGGGCTCTAGGTTGCGTGCTCCTTATGAGAATGGAATGCCTGCTGATCTGAGGTGGAGCTGAGGCGGTGATGCCAGCGCTGGGGAGCGGCTGCAAAATCATCCCGAAACCATCCCTCCCAGCCCCCAACCCGTGGAAAAACTGTCTTCCATGAAACCAGTCCCTGGTGCCAAAAAGGTTGGGGACCACTGTTATAGCTCACTGCAGCCTCAAACTCCTGGGCTCAAGCAATCCCCCTGCCTCAGCCTCCTGATTAGCTGGGACTACAGGTGGGTGCCACTATGCACAGCAAATTTTTCTATCTTTTTGTGGAGACAGGGTCTTGCTCTAGCTCAGGCTGGTCTCGAACTCCTGGTCAAAAGGGATCCTCCAACATTGGCCTCCCAAAGTGCTAGAATTACAGACAGGAGCCACCACGCCTGGCCCAACTATCTTTTTACTCTCTTCCATCCACTTACATTGTTCCACCTGCACAGAGGTATAAAACGCTTACCCCTGCACCCTGCTAATATTTTGTATATTCATTGGCACATTCTGCTCATTTTACTGCTCATCTTTCAGTTCTCAACATTAAAAACTATTCAAGGCCGGGCGTGGTGGCTCACGCCTGTAATCCTAGCACTTTGGGAGGCCGAGGCGGGCGGACTGCTCAAGGTCAGGAGTTCGAAACCAGCCTGAGCGAGACCCCGTCTCTACCAAAAATAGAAATAAATTAATTGACCAACTAAAAATATATATACAAAAAATTAGCCGGGCATGGTGGCGCATGCCTGTAGTCCCAGCTACTCGGGAGGCTGAGGCAGTAGGATCGCTGAGCCCCGGAGATTGAGGTTGCTGTGAGCCAGGCTGACGCCACGGCACTCACTCTAGCCTGGGCAACAAAGTGAGACTCTGTCTCAAAAAAAAAAGAAAAAAAAACTATTCAAAACTAATTTTGAAAATCCTTGACCCTACTCCAAAACAAGGTTAGGTTCTCCTGCTATGTGCTCTTGTAGCATGTACCGTAACTGGGATTATGGAGCATTGTGGGATTTATTGTGTTCAGCTGTTCAGAAGGTGGAAAGGTGATGGTTGAGTTTATTCTGGTTTGGCATTTTGACAAGTGACTATGCAAGAAGAATAGAGAGATGAGGACATTCAGGCTGCATTTCCCAGAGAGTGAGGCTACTGAATTAGGGTTCTCCAGAGGAACAGAACCAACAGGATAGAAATATCTGGAAAAAGAGAGATTGATCAATTTTAAGAAATTGGCTCACATGATTGTGGGGAATGACAAGTCAGAAATCTGTAGGACAGGCCAGCAGGCTGGAAATTCAGGTAAGAGTTGATGTTGTAGTCTTGAGTTTGAAGTCCACAGATCAGCAGGCTGCAAACTGAAAGCAGGGTTTCTATGTTGCAATCATGAGAATTCTTTCTTCAGGAAACCTCAGTCTTAGCTTTTATGGTTGTCAAACTAACAAACAGGGAGGGAGATTCTTCTTTAAATAAAAAAAGATATTTATTTAGGAGTAGCATTGCAATGGGAATACAGTGGACATATCGGGGTGGTAAAGGAAGACAAGGGGTTTTAAAGGAAAAATGAGGATTACGTGTTGTTTTCAAGCAATATCTTTGGCTACATCAATAACAAGGTGAACCAGTTGTTGTGGTGCACACCTGTAGTCCCTGCTACTCAGGAGGCTGAAGCAGGAGGGTTGCTTGAGCCCAGGAGTTTGAGGTTGCAGCCGGCCACTGCTGCACTCTACCCCAGGCAACAGAGTGAGACCCTGTTTCAAAAAAACAAAAACAAAGAAAAACATGCAGGCAGTTTTCCTTACAGTAGTAGACTAGGTTCTACTTAAGAACCCAAAGAAAGAAGGCATTAGTGATTTAAGTGATGCCATAGGCAAGATTTTGAGAGGCAATATACATTGAGTATGATTGAATGTATTCTCTACCTGTCAAAACAGATTTTGACAGATTCCAGGGCAAGAAAACAAAGGATATTTAAGATCAGCACACTAAAAAATAGTATGAACTAATTCTTTAAAACAAACATTAATAACAGGAAAAGATTTAAATGTGGATACCCTAGAGAACAGAGCTGAAGAGGACAGTGACCTCTTGTTTCCTCACTTTTAAAGTATATGCATGTATTATTTTGATGTTTTGCTATGAGGTGGGACCCTGGAATCTTTAATTATTTATTATTTAAAACAGACTATTTTTAGAGCAGTTTTAGGTTCATAGTAAAATGGAGAAGGTATAGAGATTTCTCATATACTTCCTGCCCCCACACATACATAGCCTTCCTCATCATCAACATCCCTTCCCAGAGGGGCACATTTGTTCCAACTGATGAACCTACACTGATACATCAGTATCACACAAACCCACAGGGTTCACTCCTGGTGCTGCACGGGTATGGACAAATGTATAACAGGTGTCTACATTTCAGTATTATACACAGTGTAGTTTCACTGCCCTAGGAATCTTCTATGTTCCACCTATTAATCCTTCCTTCCCAGCTAACCTTTGGCTATGACTTATCTTTTTACTGTCTCCCTTGTTTTGCCTTTTCCAGAATGTCACCTAGTTGGAATCATATATAGTATGTGGCATTTTCAGATTGGCTTTCTTTCACTTAGTAATATGCATTTAAGTTTTCTGCATGTCATTTCATGGCTTGATAGCTCAATTCTTTTTAGCATTGAATATTTCATTGTCTATATGTACTACAGTGTATTTATCCTTTTACCTATTTGTTTACTTAGTATTGCATTTCTGATTACTTTATTTGTCCTTCCTCCTCAATCAGCAGTTTTGCCAGGTTCATAAGAGATGCCTATTTATTGAAATGCCTGGATCAGAGAAATAAGATCTGATTAGCTGGTGCCAAGTATGGAGCCTGCAAGTTGTCTTCATGCACTAACTAAAAAAGCTACTATTAAAAAAAAGCACACACATATTTAAACACACTTATAACATATATTTGTCACTCAGACATAACAAATAAGTCACAAAAAAGGTTTAGTTCACAATATAGATCCTGTGAAAAGACATTATTCATCTCCTCTGTAGTTTACAACACTCTACTTATATTTAAAGTAAATGTTTGAGATTAAATTGTTAAAAAATTGTAATTGAGTTCAGACTTCATAAAACTGTGAAAATAAAAGGCCATGATGGAGAAATATTAAGCAATTTATAGAATTACCAAACTGTCACAGTATTACTTTTCTTTACAAAAGCATCTCGATAATACAAATAAAAACTATGGAAAACACAAAAGTAAAATCAGAGGTTTTGGTTTAGTACTTTCCCTGAGTCTCTTGTTTTTAAAAATCAAATGTAAGTAAGGCCAGTTCAAAATGGACCTACGGGTCTTGCCTCCTCTATGCTGCTATAGGGATACCTTTAAGATAAGAGGCTACAATGCTGAAGTGGTCCCAGGGCTTTATTCAAATGCCACTCTGCCTGTGTCACTGCCACAGGGGTATGTGACCCAGACCCACTGCTGCACGTGGGCTTACAGAGCTGTCAAGATTTTATCTTGGCCTGCCATAGTAGAATATAGGAGGCTATATACCAAATAGAGACAAACAATTTCAGTTATTAATAAATATTAACTTTGAAATGGATTTGGACACTATATACAGCAAATTGTGGTAACAACATGGAAACAAACACTTTTATGATTTAAAAATCTTATATAAACAGGGGTTGGGGGCAAGTCATCTTAAACTTCTAAATCTTAGATGTTACAAGAAAAAAATTCTTTAGATTCTAATAATACAAAGTAGAAAAAAGTGATTATTAGCTGATGCTTGGATATGGCCTTTCTAATTCCAAGAAAGTAGTTGTTGCCTTGATCCTTAAATAAAATTGACTGTGTTTCTACCTCATCACTTAATTGCAAGCATATGTATGTATATAATCTTGCAAGTGATCAAGCACTTTATTTAAAAAGGCATATGATAATCAAGTTAAGAATGAAGGGTTTGTCTGAATCTAAAAATTTGGTTTTTATTTCAAATGTACTAGGTCGCTTCCTGAGCTTTTCTATTAGGGTACTAAGTATTATGGATCACACTCTCTAGTCAAATGTAGGAAAAACTTTTCCACAGACAGATTTTTATAACCATTCTTGGGGTATCTCAAAGACAGATGGCAAAGACCCACCAAACTATGTCTCCCTCCATCATAACAAAATCATAATTGCAAATTAATCTCAAAAAGGTTAATAATCATTAGCTTTTCAAAAGCTAATAATCATGTACTATCTTAAAATTTGGGGGTGAAATGATGGCTAACTAACATGAATCTATCACATTCCTATTAGTTATTTAATATACAAAAGTACCCCATTGCACAGGTGGGGAACTGAGGCACAAAAGATCTTTTTTATATATATAGTAGTTTTGTTTAGGTTAGCAAGTGAACGCAATGTCAAAACTACAGCCAGACTGTAAAGGCTAGACACCTACAGTGTATAATGAGTTCAACTTCCCAGGAATGTATATTTACTCACCTGTCCTGTTTGCATCACACTTCCTATCTTAGGTCTAACCTCTGCAAACTTTTAAAGCAAGAGGTGAAAATGTCACTTACCACTGCCTTTTCTGATCAGGTACAAAACACTAGCCAATGCTTGTGTAAAAAAGAATTACCACATGTTGTTGTATATATATACAATTAGCAAGGTTCAATAGACTTTGGTACCCTTTTCAAAATAATCTTAAAACATGTAAAGGTAAGCATGTGGCATTTTATATTGTACCAACAGAGTAACAGTAAACAGATAAGGTGTAACCACTGTAATTCTTGACCAACTTATATATTGAAATGATACATCTGCCCCTAACAGCTACCATTCCAATTCTACAGGGTATTTCCAGTGAGACAAGCTGTACAATGACCTTTCTTTTCAAAACTTCCAGACCATTTCATTTTCTTGAATCATAATATCTTGCCTTCCACTTCGCTTTTAATTTATCCCTTCTTGTACAGATGAAACCAATCCTTCTACTGACAGATATATAACGCTGTTTGCTCCTATAGGGGGAAAGAGGGAAAAATTAAAAGATCATGAGAGTTCCTTTACAAAGGAAGAAATGCTTCAACAGAGAATATTTACAAACAGAATAATTTAAGCCAGGATAAAAATTTCTCCTTTAGTCTTTCTTTAAAAAAGAAAGAAAAGAAAGAAAGAGAAGGAAAAAAAATCAGTAAAACTCAAGGCCTTTATTTTTAAAATTATAAATTGGAATTCAGGGTATAACATAATTCAAAACAGCAGAGGCTTCAAGTACAGAAAGAATTTAGAAGGGTTCATTTTCAAAGAGTAATTTTCCAATCAGGAAGATCTGGGCTCAAATTTAAGTTTAAGGTTGCTTACTTTTTGTTAAGACTATTTTTGCATCTGTAAGATTGGGGAAACATTGCTGAAATTGTATAGTTTTTGTGACATTATGATAGTATAATAGGTAATACATGCAGCAGGGTGATATTCAAAATATTTAACCATTTAGTATAAACAAGTTCTAAAAAAAAAAAAAAAAAATTAACCAGTAAGGCACAGGAATGACCAGCTGAAAGACATGCCAGCCATGAACAACTGGTGTGGAGGTACCAACGCACAATGGCTGTGTTTCATGTGACAGTTACACAGTTTATACATCACCTGATTTTGAAAGGAAGCTGTCTCATCCAGGATAAACTAGATCTCTGAGTCTCCTTACCTCATTACTAAAGATAAGACTACACAAGGTTTTTACTTTTTGATTTGTATCTATATCCAAATTATTCTATTAGAATCTGTGATAAAACTGTTTTTGACAAAGTAATATAAAAGACATGAGAAACCAAGAAAGGGGAAGGGGGGTGTGGGATAAAAACCTGCTCATTGGGTACAATGAACACCATTCTGGTGATGGGCCCACCAAAAGTTCTGACTTAAGCGCTATATTAATACAAGGTATTCATGCAACAAAAGCATTTATACCCCCTTAATCAATATTTTCAAATAAAACCCCAAAACCTGTTTTTGTTTTTCTTGGGATCTGACTTTGAGAGGCTTTAACTGGTATGCTTGTACAAATTCTCTCTACGATTTTCTCTGTTAACAAACAATTAAATGTTTACAGAAATTTTAATAGTTACCTAGATATTCTGCAAGATGATCGAATTCTGGTTTATTGGCAATGAGCTCTTCTTTTGTGGGAATGTTTATTCCCATGAAGCATGGATATCTAATTGGTGGTGAGGCTACTCGAATGTGTACCTTGAAAAGAAATCATTTCACATATTCTTTGTAAGAAGTAAGTAGGCAAAATTCTTTCATTTAGTAAATGCAACATGAAATTGTTTTACAGAATATTTAGTAACAACATACTGATAAGAAACATAGAATTTGTTTAACTGAATAATAAACGAAAAAAAATCCTGGCGAAAATCATATGGATAACACAGAACTATAGTGTTCAGTCGAAACTACTCATAGAATTAATTCATTACCAAGGAATCATACTTAGGGCAACCCTGCTTCAGATGCCAGTGTGTCCTGGACAGTACTTTCAAAATAGCCATTTGTAAAGGATTCTTTCTCCAGAACTTGCTGTTTTATTCTGTTACCACTTACTTTTTATTGATTGATTGATTTTTTTGAGACAGTCTTACCTGTGGCCGGCTAGAGTGCCTGGTGTCAGCCTAGCTCACAGCAACCTCAAACTCCTAGCTCAATCCTCCTGCCTTAGCCTCCCAGAGTAGCTGGGACTATAGGCATGTGCCACCATGCCTAGCTAATTATATATATGTATAATGTAGTTAGTTGTCCAGCTAATTTTTCTATTGTTTTTTAGTAGAGACCAGGATCTCACTCGCTTGCTCAGGCCTGGTCTCAACTCCTGGCTCAGATGATCGCCCCTCAACCTCCCAGAATGCTAGGATTATAGCATGAGCACTACGCCTGGCCTGTAATAGATATTGAATTTACTTTACCTTTGTATTTATAATCTTCATAAACAAAGAGTAAGAACCATACCAACCAGTCATAAAAATGCTGGAAAATCATAATCACAACTATCTTGAAACTTTAAATTGAGAAATTTTAAGTTTGTACATCGAGCTTTTTAATCTATTAAGGATTAAATTTAGTACATAGTGCGTATATAGCATAAGAGCTGGCTATTACATGTTCTCCAAGCTGCTATACAGTTATTCCTAAACCAACCGATATGAAAAATCTTAATTTATTATATTGAACTATCCATTTTGATTCACATACTCAACTGTATTTTTTAAGTCAGTATCACATTATTAATTTGATGGTTTAGGATATATTTAATATTTTACCTCTTTTGCACCAGATTCTTTGAGCAATTTTTATAGGTGAGATGGTATTGCCTCTCACAATTGAATCATCTATAAGAACAATTCTTTTGCCTTAAAGTGTCTGACAATACTCACATTTTTTGCAACACCAATTGTCTTAACCTCATGTTGGGCTGAATGAAGGTTCTCCTACGTATCGTTTTTACACGCACCTCCACATATGGAAGTCCACACTGGTAAAGAAAAAAAAGGACAATGAACAGCAGTATCACAGAACACCATAGGTTCCTATTTTTCTCTAGATTGATGCATCATACATATGTAAGTAATACTTCAAAATGTGGTGTTATTGTCAAGCTCCATCATCAGATTACATCTTTTCCTTCCCATTTAAACTGTGGGAGGGGAAAAGGCAAAAAGAAAAACCAAAAAGTAATATACCTGGTGGAAAAACATTCATTCATTTGCAGAATTTGTAACATGTCTTTTTAAAACAAATATTATTCCTCTATCTTGAAAGAGAATACTAAGCATATGAAGAGATGACAAGGAATAAATCATTGTCAGAAAATTCACATATTTAAATTGTTGGCACAAGAATTTAAACCAGTAGCTATGGAGATACTTTCATCCATTTTCAGGTAGCCTTCTCTAAATATAAGCAATATTATCTCCTTAGTAGTTAATAAACTAAACTATCCAAGGTAGTGAATATCAGGTATTATACCCAGGATCACTATAGTTATACAATCTACTTAATTAAAAAATAAAATTTAGCTAGTACTAGAAATTAAACTAAATGACATAAACAGCTTATTACCTATATTCCAGTAGGAGCAAACAAAACACCAGTGACTTATGAGACTACTTCAAGAAGTAGATCTTAATAATAAATAAATAAATATAACCAGTACATTCTATATATAGCTGACTCTTGAACAACATGGGTTTGAATTACATGGGTCCTTATAGGTGGATTTTCTTCTGCCTCTGCCACCCCTAAGACAGCAAGATCAACCCCTCTTCCACCTCCTTCTCAGCCTACTCCACGTTAAGACTACAACTAGGATGAAGAACTTTATGATGATCCAGATTTTTCTTAATAACATTTTTTCTCTAGCTTACATTATTGTAAGAATACAGTATAAAATATACATACTACATACAAATATGTGTTAATTGACTTTTATATTACCAGTAAGGTTTCCAGTCAACAGTAAGCTATTTAGTAGTTAAGTTTGGGGAGAGTCAAAAGTTATATGCAGATCTGAGTCAGGGCGCAGGGTGGTCAGCGCTCCTAACCCCTGCCTATTCAAGGGCCAACTTTATATTAATGACATTATCTTTTTAAAAAGAAGAGGGCCAATCTAGTCTTTGGGAGAACCTTTTCGGATCTTCACTAGAATAGTGTCATTGAATGAAAAGGCTGGAAAATGAATATTGCTTATAAAGGAACTAACATTAACCTCCAAATCTTCCTTCCTCTTTATGATAAGTTGATGAATTCTCTTTATAGACAGGGTTTTCTTATTCCACAGCTAGCAGAGCAATTTATTGCATGTTAATTAAGAGAAAATACCTTTCCTGCATAACCAAGAGCAGCAGGTGTAGCAGATTCCGGAACAGTGCTAACCAAATCCGCATCCACGGGTGCTTCAATCGCCAGCTGCTGACCACAGCGGTACCTTACTGTATAAACCATTTGGTCTGGTATTTTGGAAAAGGAAATAGATTATCTTTACTTAACATGATATAGTATTGCTATTCTAAAAAGCTAGCGCTAGAACTCTACAGACTGAGTATAAAAAGAAAAGTGAAATATTAAAATGGAAATACACAAATTGAGGGATTTAACTGTGTAGTTTTTAAAAAATTTGGCATTAATATAGATCCTGAAAATCATAATCCTTACTCCTAAAAGAAAAACAAAATCAAGAGTTGAAAGGAAAGAAAAAATAGTGATCTTGCGGGCTTACTCCTATATCTACAATATGTAACTATGTGCCTTCAAAGAGCCAAGTAAGTCTTTGGGCCAAGAACTACCATGTTTCAATGAGATACATAAGAAATTTATATGAATAGTCAAAGAAAAAAAATATGCATACCTTCAAATATACTATCTGGTCTTGCAAAATAAACATATTCAAATATACAAAAAGCCACTGGGTTTCCTTCAGACCTTGATACAATATCAAGAGTTCGCACATTATGTCTGGATATTTCCACGATTTCTCCAGGCAAGACTTCACGGTAATATCTTGGGAAATAAAGAAAGAAGACTTTTAATAAACCAGTCCTTAATGCTGATGATAACATCAATTATAAAGCACATAAAAAGTCCCCTCTACTTATAGAGAAAAAAATGGATTCATTTATAATACAAAATCTGGATATGGCTTTAAAAAAAAAGTAATATACCTTCAGCAGTAATTTCTGTCTTTTTTATTACTACTAAGTTCTAATTTGGAATTGAAAAAATAAGGGCCCTAAGTTTTATCGAGTTTTGAAGGAATAAAGGCTAAAGAAAAATTTTTATTCTGGCTTAAGTTTTCCTATTGTAACTATTTCTTGTTGAAGAAGTTCTTTCTTTCTACAATAAGTCTTATGATAGTTTGAAAGAAGGATGCCAGTTTCAGAATTAGAAGTTATTACTAGAACATTAAAGTTAAACTCACTGCAACTGCTGAGCACAATGTACATTAAGAAAATGCAATTACAGGCCAGGCACAGTGGCTCAGGCCTGTAATGCTAGCAATTTGGGAAGCCAAGGTGGGAGGATTGCTTGAGCACAGTAGTTCAAGACCAGGCAGGGAAACACAATGAGACCTGTCTCTACAAAAAAATTAGAGAATTAGCCTGGCATGACGGCTTGCGCCTGTAGTCCCAGCTACTATGGGAAGCTGAGCCAGGAATATTGGTTGAGCCTGGGAGCTGGAGGCTGCTGCAGTGAGCTGTGATCATGTCACTGCACAAAAAAGGAAGAAAATGCATTTATAAATCTTTCAAAGGAAGTAGTCTAATAATAATAAATATTTTAACCAGTACATTCTACTATATATAGCTGACTCTTGAACAACATGGGTTTGAATTACATGGGTCCTTATAGGTGGATTTTCTTCTGCCTCTGCCACCCCTAAGACAGCAAGATCAACCCCTCTTCCACCTCCTTCTCAGCCTACTCCACGTAAGACTTCAACTGATGAAAACTTTATGATGATCCACTTTATTTATGAATAGTACAGATACTTTCTCTTCCTTATATTTTTCTTAATATTTTTTCTCTAGCTTACATTATTGTAAGAATACAAAATGTAATATACATATATATACAAATATGTGTTAATTGACTTTTATTTACCAGTAAGGCTTCCAGTCAACAGTAGCTATTTAGTTAGTTAAGTTTGGGGAGAGGCAAAAGTTATATGCAGATTTGAGTCAGGGCGCAGGGTGGTCAGCGCTCCTAACCCCTGCCTATTCAAGGGCCAACTTTATATTAATGACATTATCTTTTTAAAAGAGAGGGCCAATCTAGTCTTTGGGAGAACCTTTTCGGATCTTCACTAGAATAGTGTCATTGAATGAAAAGGCTGGAAATGAATTTGCCTTATAAAGGAACTAACATTAACTCCAAATCTTCCTTCCTCTTTATGATAAGTTGATGAATTTCTCTTTATAGACAGGGTTTTTATTCCACAGCTAGCAGAGCAATTTTTGCAAGTTAATTAAGGAAAATACCTTTCCTGCATAACCAAGAGCAGCAGGTGTAGCAGATTCCGGAACAGTGCTAACCAAATCCGCATCCACGGGTGCTTCAATCGCCAGCTGCTGACCACAGCGGTACCTTACTGTATAAACCATTTGGTCTGGTATGTTTGGAAAAGGAAATAGATTATCTTTACTTAACATGATATAGTATTGCTATTCTAAAAAGCTAGCGCTAGAACTTACAGACTGAGTATAAAAAGAAAAGTGAAATATTAAATGGAAATACACAAATTGAGGGATTAACTGTGTAGTTTTAAAAAATTTGCATTAATATAGATCCGAAAATCATAATCCTTACTCCTAAAAGAAAAACAAAATCAAGAGTTGAAGGAAAGAAAATAGTGATCTTGTCGGGCTTACTCCTATATCTACAATATGTAACTATGTGCCTTCAAAGAGCCAAGTAAGTCTTTGGGCCAAGAACTACCATGTTTCAATGAGATACCTAAGATTTATATGAATAGTCAAGAAAAAAAATTTGCATACTGGTTTATTGGCAATGAGCTCTTCTTTTGTGGGAATGTTTATTCCCATGAAGCATGGATATCTAATTGGTGGTGAGGCTACTCGAATGTGTACCTTGAAAAGAAATCATTTCACATATTCTTTGTAAGAATAAGTAGGCAAAATTCTCTTTCATTTAGTAAATGCAACATGAAATTGTTTTACAGAATATTTAGTAACAACATACTGATAAGAAACATAGAATTTATTTAACTGAATAATAAACGAAAAAAAATCCTGGAAAATCATATGGTAAACACAGAACTATAGTGTTCAGTCGAAACTACTCATAGAATTAATTCATTACCAAGGAATCATACTTAGGGCAACCCTGCTTCAGATGCCAGTGTGTCCTGGACAGTACTTTCAAAATAGCCATTTGTAAAGGATTCTTTCTCCAGAACTGCTGTTTTATTCTGTTACCCACTTACTTCTTTATTGATTGATTGATTTTTTTGAGACAGTCTTACCCTGTGGCCCGGGCTAGAGTGCCATGGTGTCAGCCTAGCTCACAGCAACCTCAAACTCCTAGGCTCAATCCTCCTGCCTTAGCCTCCAGAGTAGCTGGGACTATAGGCATGTGCCACCATGCCTAGCTAATTATATATATGTATATGTAGTTAGTTGTCCAGCTAATTTTTTTCTATTGTTTTTTTAGTAGAGACAGGATCTCACTCTTGCTCAGGCTGGTCTCAAACTCCTGAGCTCAAATGATCCGCCCACCTCAGCCTCCCAGAATGCTAGGATTATAGGCATGAGCACTACGCCTGGCCTGTAATAGATATTGAATTTACTTTTACCTTTGTGTATTATATAATCTTCATAAAATTCCAAAGAGTAAGATGATCATAATCCCAACCAGTCATTAAAAAATGCTGGAAAATCATAATCACAACTATCTTTGAAACTTTCTAAATTGTAGAAATTTTAAGTTTGTACATTGAGCTTTTTAATCTATTAAGGATTAAATTTAGTACATAGTGCGTATATAGCATAAGAGTGGCTATTACATGTTCTCCAAGCTGCTATACAGTTATTCCTAAACCAACCTGATATGAAAAATCTTAATTTATTATATTGAACTATCCATTTTGATTCACCATACTCAATGGTATTTTTTAAGTCAGTATCACATTATTAATTATTGATGGTTTAGGATATATTTTAATATTAGTTACCTCTTTTGCACCAGATTCTTTGAGCAATTTTATTATAGGTGAGATGGTATTGCCTCTCACAATTGAATCATCTATAAGAACAATTCTTTTGCCTTTAAAGTTGTCTGACAATACTCCAAATTTTTTTGCAACACCAAGTTGTCTTAACCTCATGTTGGGCTGAATGAAGGTTCTTCCTACGTATCGGTTTTTACACAGCACCTCCACATATGGAAGTCCACACTGGTAAAGAAATAAAAAGGACAATGAACAGCAGTATACAGAACACCATAGGTTCCTATTTTTCTCTAGATTGGATTGCCACTATAATATGTAAGTAATACTTCAAAATGTGGTTGTTATTGTCAATGCTCCATCATCAGATTACACTTTTCCTTCACCATTTAAACTGTGGGGAGGGGAAAAGGCAAAAAGAAAAAACACAAAAAGTAATATACCTGGTGGAAAAACCAATTCATTTTGCTAGAATTTGTAACATGTCTTTTTAAAACAAATATTATTCCTCTATCTTGAAAGAGAATACTAAGCATATGAAGAGATGACAAAGAATAAATCATTGTCAGAAAAATTCACATATTTAAAAATTGTTGGCACAAGAATTTAAACCAGTAGGCTATGGAGATACTTTCATCCATTTCTCAAGGTAGCCTTCTCTAAAATATAGGCAATATTATTTCCTTTAGTAGTTAATAAACTAAACTATCCAAGGTAGTGAATATCAGGTATTATACCCCAGGATCACTATAGTTATACAATCTACCTAATTAAATAAATAAAATTTAGCATAGTACTAAGAAAATTAAACTAAATGAACATAAACAGCTTATTACCTATATTCAGTAGGGAGCAAACAAAACACACCAGTGACTTATGAGA